ACCCTAAACCCCGTTCTTGATCGTCGATAATTGCTGAAACCCAGGTTACACTCGAAACCCTGGACACCAAACTACCTAAATCCTAAAGCCCCCTGTACCCCCTGTATTCCTTAAGCAAAGCACACACCAAAACTTGACAGGACCCTTCAATGCACCCGGATGACCCTTGGATGCAACGATCAGGCCAGGCACTGCATCTAAGGGTGTTTTGTGTGCATCCAAGGGTCATTGAGGGGTACTGGTCTGGTGGGATCATCGCCTTTGCTTCTGTCCCAGTGCCAGTCACTCGTCGCGAAGTTTGAAGTTGTCAGCAAGTGCTCATTCAACTTAAACGTTGCATTCAAGGCTCCAGGCACCAAGGCACCCAGGCTCTCAGGCTCCAAGGCCTAGTAGAGTGTGCATTTTGACCCTACCCACACAGTGTACGCTGCCGTTACGTCACTGTGGGCACCGTTGGCCGGGTGTCGGGCCGCAGGAACTCAGCCTTGAGGCCAACCTGCCAAGGCAGTGGCAGATGACAGCTGGGCCAATGGGCTAATGCGCCAGCTGGGGCAAAATCTGGGCCAGGGATCCTGTTGTCCCGCCAGATTGTTCCTGCAATGAGGGGGAGGCTTTACTGCTGGGATCATCGGCTTTGCTTCTGTCCCAGTGCCAGTCACTCGTCGCGAAGTCTGAAGTTGTGCAAGTGCAGAATTCAAACTTTGCATTCAAGGCTCCAGGCCCCCAGGCCCCCAGGCGCCCAGGCTCTCAGGCTCTCAGGCTCCAAGCCCCTGAGGCTGCATGTCTACCAGCCCTCCGTGCGTCTCCAGGCACTTTGAGGCAGTGGCTGGATGGCTGGGGTTCGGGCTTTCAGAGTGCCACCGATGCCAGCACGTTTTGGTCTCGGGGCGACCAAGCTTCCACAAAGATTGATACAAGTCTTCAAACTCGTCATTGTTGTTCGTCGATGATAGTTGAAACCCAGGTTACACTCGAAACCCTCGTTACCAAACCACCTAAATCCTTAAAGCCCCCCTGTACACCCTGTAAATTCCTTAAGCAAAGCACACACCAAAACTTGACAGGACCCTTCAATGCACCCGGATGACCCTTGGATGCAACGATCAGGCCAGGCACTGCATCTAAGGGTGTTTTGTGTGCATCCAAGGGTCAATTGCTGAAACCCAGGTTACACTCGAAACCCTCGACACCAAGCCACCTTTATCCTAAACCCCACCCTGTACCACCTGTATTCCTTCAGCAAAGCACACACCAAAACTTGAAAGGACCCTTCAATGCACCCGGATGACCCTTGGATGCAACGATCAGGCCAGGCACTGCATCTAAGGGTGTTTTGTGTGCATCCAAGGGTCATTGAGGGGTACTGGTCTGGTGGGATCATCGCCGTTGCTTCTGTCCCAGTGCCAGTCACTCGTCGCGAAGTTTGAAGTTGTCAGCAAGTGCAGCAATTTAAACGTTACCGTTGCATTCAAGGCTCCAGGCACCCAGGCACCCAGGCTCTCAGGCTCCAAGGCCCAGTAGAGTCGCTGCCGCCATGATTCCAGGCACTTTGAGGCAGTGGCTGGACGGCTGGGGGTCCGGCTTTCAGAGTGCCACCGAGGCCAGCATCGGTGCCACTCATGCCCGTTTTGGTCTCGGGGCGGCCAAACTTCCACAAAGATTGTTGGTGGGAACTGATTGCAGTGGCATTGATGCACCGATCCATGGCCTTAGGGAGCTCGGCATCACGCACCAGCATTTGTTTGGGAGTGAGGTGGCTGCTGGTCCTCGGTCGGTTATCGAGGCTAATACCAAGCCCTCGGTACTGTTCCACAGTGTCCTGGATGCTGACAAGGCACCGTTCGTTCACCTGTACATTGCCGGCTTCAGCTGCAAGCCGTTCAGCCTGCTCCACAATAAGTCAAGGCTCCTCAAGGAAAAACAGGCTCAAATATTCTATGGGGTCGTTGCACGCATCCAACTTGTGCGGCCCTCGTGCTTCGTGCTGGAGAATGTGTCAGGCATAAAGCGTGTTTCTGCAAAGGTTCTGGCGGCACTCAGGTCCACAGGCTATCATGTCGAAATGATTTTGATGAACCCTGCCGAGCTACAGGAGCCCATCCAGAGGCCTAGGTACTACTTCATCGGGGTCCGGCAAGATGTGAGCCTCATCTCGCCAAAGGACATGTCGTGCTGGCTTCGTGAGGCTTGGGCGGAAGTCCTGGATGCAGTTGCTTCCGGAGACGCAGTCGATCTTTTGGATAGACTGCTACCGGCGAGCCACCCTGCTGTGGCACAGTACCAGGAAAGCCGCAAACGGAAGTGGTCGCAAGCTTCCAACCGTGGGTTCCCAGGCTCCCAGGCTCCAGGCTCCCATGCTCCAAAGTGGAAAGAATTGCACAAGATGTGCAAAGCTTCAATGCAGCAGGGCAGCCGGTTGAAGAGTGAGAGTCGGAGGCCTTGCACTGAGAGCGGAGTCGCCTGCTGCGCAGACACGTTGTTCCTGCATTTGCCGCGTGAGCGTGGTGCCTGGGACATCATTTGCACAAAGCATGCAGGCAGTAAGGAGCTTGTCGCGGATGTATCCCAGAATGTGAACCGAGCCCGGGTGCGGACCGATGGCTCCCTGCCTACTGTTACACCTGGGGCCGTACTGGTATCCGCACGAGCTGGAAGGATCATTAGCCCGCTTGAAAAAGTCATGCTGCACGGTTTTCCAATTCACCGTATGGTTTTTCCCAGCAAAGTGACCGACAAGGAGCTCGCCAGCATGGGCGGCAACACGATGCATGTGCAGATTGTGGCCGTGGCAATGAAGTTTGCGCTTGCGTTGGTAAACTGGAGCCTGCCCAAAGCTTCCCGGCCGACAGCCTTGTGCAGCACCGTTGCTGCGCCAAGCATAACTGCTTCAGTTGTGCTCGGCGCAGCAGCGAAATGCCGCAAGCGCCATGGCAAGCCACGGAAGGCTCCCAAGGCGCGAAAGGCTGCATCGGCGCAGAAGCCTCCAAAGGCACCAAAGGCTCCAAAGGCTCAGAAGGCTGAAGGCATGTCAGCTTTGGCAAAGCGTTGGCAGAAAGTCTTGAGACCGCAGGCAGCAAAGAAGTGCTCGAGGAAGGGTGCCACGGCCACATTGGCGTCCCGTCTTGCCCATCGCTGGGCAAAGTAGTAGTCATTAATTCGTCATATTATGACGGAGAATGGCATGCGTTTTCTAATTTGGCCACTCGGAGTTGGCATCATAGACTGACTTAGGTGAGGCCGGGTGCAAAATTCGGGAAAGCCTGCTCCGAGCAGTACAGATTATTTGGACTGGGTCACCCTGCCGACTCCCAGTGAAACAAACCGCCGCAGTGTGCATAGGAGTTCGCAGTGTTGTGCCATTCGGGCTGCTTGACTCGGGGTAATACCCTCACGTCTGCCAGGCAGCTGCTCGCTGTCGGATCGAACGGGAAGCTGGAGGCGCGGTTCTCGGGTTAGTCGGAGTCGGTTGGACCAGTTGCAGAGTCTGATTCAGTTCCAGTCTTAGCACGGTTGCCACGGTTGCGTTTGCTTGTCATCGTAAGTGCTGCGCGGTCGCTTCAGGCTCCCAGGCTCAAGGCTCCAAGGCCCCCAGGATTTCAATGCCAGTGGGTAGCCGCACCCTGCGTGGTCTTGCCGCTCGGTTCGGACTACGCTCCCGGAAGCAGGACCGGACGCCGACAAAAAAAAGACGAGGTCCACAAGGATCCGTGCCTGCGGCCCCGAAGAAGCTTCGGCTCGAGTCCGGCGAAGGCCTGGCTCAGGAGGGCGACGACGACACCGGAAAGGGATGTGGCGATGTTGGTCTCGCGACTGAGAGCGATGCAGAGCATTTGGCTCGCCATCGTGGTGGCGACGAGAAATGCAGCCGATGCAAGCTGCCCGGTTCAGAAACCCTAATTTTAATTTAAATTATTATTTAATTTATAATTTTATTTAATATTTAAAGAAATTTAAATCATAAATATTTAAATCATAAATGGTCTTATTATTAATAGGGTTTCTGAACCGGGCAACTAGACATACTACATACATACATACTTACATGCCTGCCATGCATGCATACACATTACATGTCAATCTATTTTTTCATTTTGGTTCTTTATCATCTTGCTGTCGTGTTTCTCTCTCTCTCTCTCTCTCGGTGGCTCTCTCTCTCTCTCTCTCTCTCTCCGTCGCTCTCTCTCTCTCTCTCTGTCTCTCTCTCTCTCTCTTTCTCTCTTTCTCTCTCTCTCTCTCTCTCTCTCTCTCTCTCTCTCTCTCTCTCTCTCTCTCTCTCTCTCTCTCTCTGTCTCTCTCTGTCTCTCTCTGTCTCTCTCTCCTCTCTCTCTGTCTCTCTCTCCTCTCTCTCTGTCTCTCTCTCCTCTCTCCTCTCTCTCTCTCTCTCTCTCTCTCTCTCTCTCTCTCTCTCTCTCTCTCTCTCTCTCTCTCTCTCTCTCTCTCTCTATCTCTCTCTCTCTCTCTCTGTTGGATCGTTATTGTTTGTGGCAGACTTGCTACTTGACTATGTTGCAGTTGCTGGTTGGTTCTTGCTTCCGGCATTCTCGACTTGATCTCGTCCGTTTGCATACAATCCCAACATGTCAGTCAGGTTCCTTCGCTTCCAGGAAGTTTGGAGCAAAGCCGGAAGCCTCACCCACACGTCTTGGGGCAAGCAGCAGCGGACAGTTTGGCTGGGCCAGAGACCAGCTCGCCGAGGAGGCGATTGGGGCATCGGCTGTCACTTTTGTGCACACTTGATGAATGTTTTGGCACAGAACCCAGCAGAGCGGAAGAGGTTGCAGTCCGGCCGAATTGTGCAGTGTAGTGCGAGCGGATAGCCCCTTTGTGATCAAATTAAGGCTGACCGTGACCAGCCCAACTTTCGCAGCCCTAAATGCCTAAGGCTGGGCAGTCGCCTCTCTACCAAGTGGGGTGCCTATGAGGTCCGATCAAGGACCGCATCATGTTGTCGTTGTCAGCTGTGATTTAAGGCATCAGTCGCAGACTTTGGCAGGAGTGCGATGCAGGCATGCTGCATACACGCTCACAGCAAGACCTTCGTTCACCAGGTGGCCACGAAGGTTTACCTAGCTCCTGACACGCCGATCTCACAGTGCTTGCCTTACAGCATCAAGCATCAGCACCTCTTCTCCGGCAACGTTCCTCAGCCGGCAGATTGGCTGCGAGCGTGGCGGGCGTGCCGGACAGCATCTTCTTTCAAAGGTGCCGTGAAATTCTATTCCACGGAAGACTTCGCTGCTGGCAGGAACACGAAGCTTGACAGTGTGAGCCAGGATGCAGCACTTTAAAAGGCCTAAGGTTTCAGATTGTTGACATTTTATTTTGGCACATTTAAATTTAAAATTTGACAAATAATTTAATTAATCATCTGAGGTCTCAAGAACATGATTCTTGTTATGCACTGGGCTGTCAAGAGTGTTCGCAAGCAGCGTCTCGAACAAGCCACCAGCATCAGCTTGTCCGTGGACGACCGCAAGGAGTATCGTTTGGTGAGGTACCGTTGCGATGTTCCACCGCGCACTGCCAAGCAGTCAGCGGCTCCAGGCTCCCAAGGTCCCCAAGGCTCCCAAGGCTCCCAAGGCTCGGAGGATGGCCCGCTTGTCGCCGATGGCTTGCTTGGGGTCTACAAGACAGGTGCCAGTGTTCCTGAAAACACATTGGAGGAGCACGATGCGGACAAGAGTCAGGTGATGGCAGACAGCATAGGCATAGTCATTGACAGGGCCTGTCAGGATCCGGAAGGCAAAACTGACGAGGAGTCCTGCAGCCGCTTGAAGCTGCACGTGCGGCACTTTGCAGCCGATCAGTGCACATCTGCCCGGAAGTGTGGAAGGTTGTTGGTCACTGGCGGCCAGTATCCTAACCTGGTCTGGGTAAGCCATGATCCTGCGCACCAGGTTCGTATTGCCTACCAGGACCCTCTTCACGCCATGCCCGAGTTCCAAGACCAGTGGGAGCGTTTGTTTGCTCCCGGCAAGGGCAAGCATGCGCTTATCCCGGACATCCAGAACTCAGAAGTCTGGAAGGCCAGGCTCATGGCGGCCCAGCAAGAGGTTCTCAGGCTCCATGGCTCCCAGGCTGGTGTGGAGAAGGTGATCCGAGCGTTGTCGTTCTCCCAACCTCGGTTTGACTCGTCGGCCACACCAATGCTGAAGTACTTGTGCATGATTCGTGCGATGGCGGTCTTATGTGCTATGCAGGCTGCTGACGAGTCTTGTCCTTATGTCAAACAAATTTTAAAATTATTAAATTTAATAATTATTATTTATTTTAATTTAATTATTGTGTATTAAATCTTAGTCTTAGTATGGATTGTATTAATGCATGTATGTGCGGATGTATGTATGTACGTAATTATTATTTTAATAAATTTAATAATAATAATAATAATAATAATAATAATAATTTAGATTAATAAATATTAATGACAATGATTAATAACTATTTAATAATATATTAACTTTTATTCAATAATAACTAAGTATGTAGTCTTAGTATTATGTATATGATATGTAGTATGTATGTATGTATGTATGTATGTATGTATGTATGTAATGCATGGTAATTCACTTTCAATGTGTAGTATCTAAATTGAATTGTATGTATGTATGTATGTATGGCATGTACGTATGTATGTATGTATGTATGTATGTAAGTATTATGTATGAGTATGTATGTATGCATGTATGTATGTAGTATGTATTATGTAAGTAAAGCATGGATGTAAGTATGTATGCATGTACGTATGTATGTAGGTATGTATGTATGTATGTATGTAGTATGTATGTATGTATGTGTAGCGTTAAGAAATTTAAAGTATGTATGTGTGTATGTATTATGTATGTATGTATGTATGTATGTATGTATGTATGTATGTATGATACGTATGTATGTATGTATGTATGTATGTATTGTATTGGCATTGTATGTATGTATGTATGTATGCATGTAGGTATTATTAGACATATTATTATTAACATAATACAATGTATGTATGTATGTATGTATAGTATGTATGTATGTATGTATGTATGTATGTATGTATGTATGTATGATGTATGTATGTATGTATGTATAGTATGTATGTATGTATGTATGTATGTATGTATGTATGTATGTATGTATGGCATGTATGTATGTATGTATGTATGTATGTATTGTATGACTGAGTATGAACTAATTTAATAATAATAAATTAAATTATTTTAAACATTGAATGTTTGTATGTATGTGTGTATGTATCGTAGTATGTTATGTATGTATAGTATGTATGTTTGTATGTTTGTATGTTTGTATGTATGTATGTATGTATGTATGTATGTAATTTAATGTATGTAAGTATTATGTATGTAGTATGTATGCATGTATGTATGTAATGTAATAGTATGTATGTACTCTACGCATGTATGTCATGTATGTTGAAATGTCCGTTGTATGACACACAGGAGAGAAACACGGTCGAGATTCGCTCCCGAGCAGAGCGCGCCTTGCAAAACATGAATGCAGCAGCCCTCATGCGCTGTGGACTCACTTGCGACTACACATCTGAGTGCCTGGGTTTCTTGCGCAGGAACTTTGACATTGAGGATCCAGATGTATCCTGCACCCCCAGAGTGCTGGAAGAGTTCACCAAGCGCCAGCGGTTCTTATTTGTGGATGGATACATCCTCTCCGACAGCTCGCAGGTTCCCAGTTCCGTGGACGGCTCCGAGGCTCCAGGCTCCCAGGCTCCCAGGAGGTGTGCAACCCAGTTAGTTTACGAGGAGATCCAGACACCAGAGCCGCAACTACCCTGCAAGTTTGTCGTCGTCATAGCGGTTGTGTTCCAGTAGGCTTCGCTGGTATGCCCGCCGTGGCAAACCTAGGATCTTCTATGGCAACAGAGTCCACTACCTGTGCACGAAGGCCGGCATTTCTGATGTAAGGCAGATCATGGGAACTATGGCGCACGTGGTCGAGGCGATGCTGGAGCGTTTGCGAGTAGATCTGACGGAGGATGAGATCGCCGTGGCTCTGCAGGTATTCAACCTTCGGCTGTGGCAGGAGACGAACCGACAACAGGAGCTAGTGGACTCTACACGCAAGCTCTGTGATATGCTCAAGCTTTCGCACGGTACAGCCGTGCTGTTTGGACGATTTGCTCGCAAATTGCATCCTCTTCTAGAAGCAGCTAAGTCAAAGGACCCAGGCTTCGGGAACAAACATGCGTGGTCTTGGTTGCTTCGGCCAGCGTGGCGTGCACGGCATGCACACAAACTTCCATGGACAGAGGATTGTCATGCCCTCATTGCTTTCTTCTTGTCCTTGAAGATCAACACGACCACGCTGGAAAGGGATTTGGGACACTTGCTCACACAGCTGGAGGCGCATTCCGGACCCCTCACTCCAAATGGCTCAACCATTGCCTCCATCCTCGAGGTGGCAGTTGAAGGTCCCCAGCGAGAGGAAGAATTTTTCCGGAAGCCGGAGAGCGAAGGTGCCGTGCTGACCCCAACTGACTTCGGGGTTCTTTGTGGTGAACTGTGGATTCGTCACTTTGGGCGTCGGTTCCGCATGACCTACAACAAAGAACGAAAGCAGGGGCCCAGCAAGCCACGCCAGGCACGTTCTGGAACTCTGGCTGCAATTGTCAGAGGCCGTGAAGCAGCCGCCGCCGAGGCAGCGAAGAGAGCAGAGGCAGCTGCTTCGAAAGGCAGGTCGTGGAAGCCGGCCTCTTTCGTGCCGGGCTTGAGCCTGCCTTTGCCGGCAGCGTCTGCCTCTGCCCAGAACAGCGTTGCTGGCACACGTTGGGCTTTCGCCCGCCCCACACCAGATGCCCTCAAGCATTTGGAGAATTTCCGTGCACGCACACAGCAGAAATATGACGGTGACTCAGCAGCACAACGGTTGCTTTCCGTGCTAAGTCATTTGAAGTGTCATACACATTGTCATTGTCATCCAGCCAAGGTCACCAAGAGGAAGCGCGGAGACGATCCTCTGGCAAGATTGCTTACACAACAACGGCGGCACGGCTTGGCGGTTTGCGCATGGTGCAGCACGGCCACGAGAAGGATCGGTCATCCGTCTTGCAAAGCATCCTCCGCAAACGAGCTCTGAAGCTATGTCCGGTCTATCGTCGCTACACGGACAGCAAGTCGCTGCAAGGCAACAAGCATTTCCAGATTCTTGGACCGTACGAGTATGAATCCGCCGATATCCTGGTCCTCGAACAACTGTCCGATGTGGAGACGGTCCGCAGCGACCGACTGGTCCCAAGCTTTTAATTAAAATGTTTAAAAGTCGGATGATGCCAGGCTTAGATCGTCACTGCTGGTACACGTTGACGTGTTTCATCCCAGGTTCCTGCCTTGATCATTGCGTACGGCTGTGGCAAAGTGCTTGCCTCCAGGGAGGCGATTCTGGCATACTTGGACAATCCGACAATTGATGCTGAGAAGTCGTTCTTGTCCTTCAACACAGCTGCAACTTCGAGGCTGGTCGGCCTTGAGATCGCCAAGAGCTGTCAACTGTTGCTCGGTGGCACAGACACTGAGGTTCAAGGGTTTCGGGTTGAAGGGTTTATTGTCTAGGGTTGGGTTTGGGTTCATTTAAGTTCAATCAGTCAGGACCCGTGCCATCGTCGAGGCCCTGCGATTCTGTGAGAAGTTGCCCCAGTCGAAGTGGCGTGTTGCTATCGGCACACCACTGCCCACTCAATTTGCTACCAAGAGGCGCACCACCTACAAGATCAATGGAGAGGCCGATATCTGGAATTTCCTCCGCACCGTCCGCGGGTTGTCCCAGAAGCGGACATTGTCCGGTGCTGGTGTACAGATGAGGCATTTGCCCCCCAAGAAACCCAAGAAAGTTCGTGCGTCATAGTCCTGTACTGCAGCAGTTAATGACAGTGCTCTTTGGCTCCTTGGCTCCTTGGCTCCCAGGTTCGCAGGCAGGAATTTTCCTGGGGTCGAATCATTTTAAGTCTAGTCGTTCGCACAGGAATGTACAGGGGGCCTGTGTCGCAAGGCAGGGTTAACCTTGTCTGGGGCAGCAGGTGCCTGCAACAGAGCCTGTTGCAAGCCCCTGCTCAATACACTGCAGATTGGTGCCAATCCGGGGCGTATTGGCAGGACAAAACGGCCTTGCAATTCACTTCCCCTGCAGTTGTTTAATTGCAGGACAATGGTAGGATGCAATACACCATGGATTGGTGCCAATCCCTGGTGTATTGACGTTCCATTTGTCCCTTGCAATAGCCTTCCTCTTTCATTTCAATACAGGCAGGATTCGCGCCAATCGCCGCGGCGCTACATCCAAGGGTGTTTTGGATGCATCCAAGGGTCCCGGCAGCTCTTGTTCCATGCATCCAAGGGTGTTTTGAGTGCATCCAAGGGTCACGTTAGCAGTGCCTTAATGATGAAAGAAGCACCTGTCACCCTTCAATGCACACGAATGACCCTTCAACGCACGCAAATGACCCTTCAATGCACATGTCACTTGTCACTGCATTGTCTGAGGCTGTTGTCGTCGACAAGCTGGACGTCGAGGGGCAGGCCCAAAGTCGTTTCATTTCAGTCATGGTTGGCTGTGTGGCTGAGTTGTCAGAACATGACAGTTGCATGCGACAGTGTGTTGTGTCAGTCTTGCCATGTCACTATCAGCATCTGATACGAGGCTTCTGCGGCAACAGGCTCCAAGGCTCCCTGGCTCACATAGGCTACTAGGTCCCAATGCCGCCTGCGAAAATGGCCGCAGCCGATCCTAAAGCAGCCGCCGCAGATATGGCACCCACCATCATCGCCGAGCCGGAGGAGAACCCAGTGATAGAGACTCAGTCTCAGAGATCTTGGTCGCGTCTCGGCTACTGTGCGCTGAGGGCAAGTGACTACGAGAAGAGTGTGGAGGCGGCTTCCGAGTTTGAGAAGGATTCCTATTACGAGTCACCGGAGATCGGCTTCCGTGCCTTGTTTCTGGCGACGAAACTGGACGCCATCACATGGCAGCGCAAGGAAGCCATGCGCAAGTTGGGGGCGGCCCCGTCTGCTGCAGACAAGCCTGTGAAGGCGAAGCTGCGCTCATCGCGCCGCCAGCTGACAGAAGCCATTGGGGAGACCCAGTTCGTGGTTCTCACACTGTTCACCAAGAAAAATCTGGCCGAAGCGTGCTCTGCAAGAGACATTGTGGTGGAGGATGGCGGCTACTATGTTCCGCTGTTCTCGGATCCTTGCCAGGAGCTGCCTTTCCACGACGAGGCGAACTGGAGCCTTGAATTCGAGTACATCGGACGCCAGGAAGTCTTTTCATTTATTGTTATTTAATTTTATATTAATTATAGGCTCAGGGGTTCAGAGGTTCAGGGGTTCAAGGGTTCAGGGGTTTAGGGGTTTAGGGGTCCAGGGTATTGCGTCCGATCAAGGCACGTCATGGTGCAGGCCACGACCAGCCGCGCCTGGCAGACCCTTGCACCCGGGCCCGACCTTGGCGGGGGTTTGGGCTTCATGTGCTACACGGCGGTCAAGTCGGAGGAAGGCGGCGGCGGCGGCGGCTTCGACATTAGCAAGGAGGACACATCTGCCCTCGTGAACTTCTTGGCCCGGAACCACGTGTTCGCTGCGCAGGGGGATCCGTTCCTTCCGGATCCCGGTGCATCCCTGTTCCCGGTTTCTTCGTCCACGCACGCAGCGGCCACGTTGGGTTTTTTTGCCCTCAAGCAGCTCGACATGGACATGCTCGAGTTCAGCTGCGAGGGCGTCATCAACCAGTCACCGCCGGTTCTCCATCCGATGGGGTACTTCTGGATGCTCAAGGGCAATGACCTGGCAGAGCGGATCCGCACCGGCAACTTGAAGGTACGCAGGTCCGGGATCGAGATGGTCATCGTGAGCATGAGCAACCCCAGGAAGCACTCAGACATTCTCCTTGAGGCTCAGCGCTCCAAGCTGGTGGAGCACAAACGGCGCTTGAAGGAACAGGTGGACGTCTCCAACAAGCAGCTCCGCCGCGACCAGGATGCCCTCGCTGCCGTTGATGCCCAGCTGAGGCGTCTCCCAGGCTCCTAGGCTCCCAGGCTCCAAGGTCCATGTGGCGCCGGCTTGGTGTCGTCATGTTTAGATGACTCATCAGCAGCATAGTAGGATTTTGATGCTTCCTTACTTTGCTGCCAACTTGATTTAAATGGACATGTAAAGCTCAAGCCGCTCGTCGACAAACTGTGGCAGGGCCCACGACTACAAAGGACCGCTGTCGACGTCAGTTTGTGTTTGTTTGCAGCATGTCCTGCACTGCAGCAGTCTTATTGCCTTGCGCTGCACCGCAAGACTCCAAACGGTTCCGTGGAAGGCTACTCGGCTCCCAGGTTCCCAGGCTTCTGTACTCGCGCTCAATGGCAAAAGTGCCGGATTTGCCCACCGACCCAACCGTTCTGAGCTCAGCATTTTCGGAGCAGTATGACGTGTGTGATGATGATGTGTGGCACGCCATGTGAAGCAGGCCAGTGCTCAAGAAGCCCTGGCAAACATCGTGCCATGGGCCCTTCGCTGAGTTCTTGATACCGTGTCCCGTCTCGCGGCTAACAGTGCTGCATGCCGTGCCTGCCCGAGGTCCGCAGCCAGCTCCCTCTGAAGTTTCCGCAGGCCAAGCAGATGTTCAAGACACCGCCGCTTGCCATCAACGCAGAAGCCAAGATGGGGGATTTGACCGGATACAAGGCGGGCGCATGTCGATCAATGTCATTTATTATTGTTTGACCGTTGTCGTTTGTCAGGCTGTGTGGAGCAAAGATGACTGCCAAGCGTCCCTGACATCATCTGGACTTTACGAAGCCAGTGGCCTCGCGCTGTGGCTGGCCACCGAAGCTTTTGCCAGTGCGTCTGAGGATGTGTGCTGGCAGGATCTCCAAACTTTCGAAGACGCTTTCTTCTCCAAGAAAGTTGCTTTCAGCACAGTTGTATCGCGTGAAGCTGCCAAGAAGAAACAAAAAACGTCACGAAACCGGCTGACGTGGCCTTGTGAGATGATTGTCCTCACGGAGTCAGCATCTGACGTGATTCACGAAGAGTTCAACAGCTCGTTGCATCTTGCTAGCGGCGTGTTTGTGTTGTGGGCTTGGTACTTGGCCGTCTTCAAAGCCCTAGTCTCCCAGGACAGTTGCTGCTTGTGTTCACATGACATGACATGTTATTGATTCATCTGACTGATGTGTGCTTGCACTTGGCAGGACAAAGCAGTTTTGGAGATTTTGTGGGAGTGTGGCTGCACTGTCACGATACAGGTTCGCTTGTGTTCCAGCGCAGGGGAGATTGCGAAGAGTCGCAATCTTGCTTCAGAGAAAGTCAAGGCACTCGGGCACCCTGGCCTGTCCGACACCTTTTGGACATTTGCAAAGACTGTCCAGCTGCTCAAGGTCGAAAAAGTCCAGGATGGTGAGGAACAGAACTTGAGGTACAACAACACCTTGTACAACAAGGCCTTACACCAGGCTGCCACAGCAGCTGTTGCAGTGCTGCGGGGTCCATCCGGTCCCGTGGAGAAGGCTGCCCGGAGATTGGAGCTGGAATTTGGGCGGGGCATCTTGAGCAGTCAGTACTCGAAGTTGAGCAAGCTGTTATCGCTGACCAACAAGCTCGCATCTGCTACCAGAAACGCTGTAGACCTGACGGCCTGGATGATCGACTCCTTGACGCTGGCCCTGCGCATGAACATGGTCACGCCAGCTAAATGCACCGAGAAGTTTCTGGATCGAGACCGGAAGACAGGCGATGCTGGCTTTTGGTTGTCGCGCATGCTGGTGGTGCAGGCATTGTAACTATTCTGACTAGCGTGTGTATTTTTTTTTTGCGGAGTGTTGCAAGTCATCGGCAGCTTGAACACTGACAGAGGTCTTCGATTATGCAGCAAAGCTGGCGAACAAGTTGCCTGAGCCGGACAAGGTTAAGCTGACAGGGATTTTGGCTGAACTCCGTTGCCCTTCCACATGTTGGGAGAAATATCTCTGCCATGCTGATGCTGATCAAGGGGCTGCTGGAGAGGACGACATGGACGGCGAGGACCCAGAGGACGTGGAGCGCCCTGTTCCGCAGTCCAAGATTGGAGCTGTTAAAGAGGGTTTCAACAAAGCCATTGGCATGCTTTTGGATTTGCTGCTGGAGCTGATGTCGGGGAAGTACTACAAGGATTGCTGCATGCTGGCTTCGAGTGAAGATGGCCTTGCAAAGGCATTGACAGCTGCACAGCTTGGAAGCTCGGATGACACGGAGCACGAGGAGCCATGTGCGCTTATCACTCAGATGAAGATCATTGTCGACAAGTTCGACAACAGCACGAAGTCCGTTGGTGCCACATCTGCGGCTCCTGCTCCGAGTTTGCTCCAAAGCCTGGCCAAGGCTTCTGAAGCTGACACACCCGAGGAATGTGTCGAGCGTGAGCGGCAGTGGAAGGCGGTGCAAACGGAACGCCGCAAGTTCGTGTCGTTCTCGGTACCGAACAAGATCTCGAAGGACTGCCTAGTCAATGCGTTCAGAGGTTGCGGCAAGGTCTTCACGCACAAGGGCACCTTAAACTCTTCGCACCGCCTGATCGTTGCCAGGGCGGATCTCTTGGCAGAGGCTGGTACCGACCCGTGGCTCAAGGGCACTCCGCCAAGCGAGGAATGGAAAGAGATCTGTGCCTTTGCCAAAGACATTTCTGGGCCCGAGGATTTCGTCGTACTCTTCGACGGCAGAATGCGGGAAATTCGCCGCGTGTCCGGGTCTTGGCGGGGTGATGTGACAAGGCTCCCAGGCTCCAAGGCTCAAAGGCTGCACCTGGTTCTTTAAGGAAGACCTCCTGCTGAACCAGCAGCACACCGAGGAGTGCACCATCGTGTACTCAGGTGGGTGCCCGCCGAGAACTGGTCGCACTCGCCGCGTTCCGCTGGCTGCAAAGAAGGTGGAGACAGGAGCGGTTAAGTTTCCGGTCGCACGCACCAAGATTCAGACGACGAAGAAAGGCTCCTTCACAGTCTGCGGCGAGGCTTCTACGTACCAAGGCACTTACTCAGGCGTGGAGTACCGGGCGGTTTCTGAAATGCCCCTCGTGTCTGCAGACACCAAGAAGAAGATCATTGCTCCGGCAACAACCGGCGACCTCCCGACACCGCCAGAGGACTGGCAGGATCGCCACGGCTCCGACGTACCCTTGTTCTGGAACGAGTCGAAGCCGCTAGCATATTGGAATGCCATCATTGAGGAGTTTTGCGCGGAGGCAGTGTTTGACCTCACGGCTGGCACCGGTGCTCTGATGGCGGCTTCTTTGACTGCCGGCATCGCATACCACGGGCTTTGCAGCACCCTTACTTGTCCAGTAGATTCGTCAGATCATTGTCATTTGATTTTATTTAAATTATCCGAGGCCTCAACAAGGAGCACATGTCGTGGGTCCAGGAGGTTGCTGATCGCGCAGCTTGCGGAATGATGGCTTTGGAGGGATCCACTCTTTACTCGGACGAGAATGCCAAGGCGGTGAAGAAGCATTTCCCGCACGTTCTGGAGAGCTTGTCCAACCAAGACGACCAGGACGAGGCACCTGCTGAGCCAGATAGCCCCCGCGATCAACCGCAGTGATGATGTTTCACTTCGACCGAATCCGCCAGCTCAGGCACCTAGGCTCCCAGGTTCTCAGGCTCTTGACCTTTTGCCGGGCTCAGTTTTGTCAGTAGTGTGTAGCAGTGACTACTGTCGCCTGAAAAAGCCGAAATGCTCTTATTGTGGCATGACATTGAAATAGGACTCGCCGAGGATGTTGTTGTAGTCGCCTGAATGCATTAAAGCGAGCCGTTATGGCCCCAGGTTCCCAGTCTCTGAGGTTCCCTGCTTGGGTTCGACATGGGCTGCCGATGGAGGCCTACCAGACGCCTCTGGGGCAAAACCAGTCTCAAGACGGCTTCTCGTCGGATGGCCCGGGGGTGCCAGCATGGTGGCAGCAAATCGCAGAGCTTGCGGAAGCAGGCTGTGAAAGACGGCTTGGTCCCCAAGGCTCGAAGGGCCTTCGTCATCTGGTTCCAGGAAAACTCCGAAGTCAAGAAAGGCGCTACCAAGCACGAGTTTCTCAATGAGATGAAGCATCTTGGCGCAGTCTGGCAGGGCATGACCGACAAGCAGAAGGCACCATTCATGGCGAGGAGCAAAGATGAGTTCGTGGCTCAGCGAAGTGCACTGGCCGTTCTTGGCATCAGGATGCGGGGCTCCACGACCAGTGCGGGCGGCCCCGACGAGGCGAAGGACCCCCCTGCCGCTGACGAATCTGGCGGTCGCGTTGGCCCATTTGAGCTTAATGGTGCAAGGGCTCCAATTGGAGGCGGAGCCTATGGCAGTGTCTACAGTTGCCAGCATCCGCAAAGCGGCCTTAACGTGGCGGTGAAGGTTTATCGTGGCTCCGATGGCCCCGCGGATTGCAGGCACGAAGTGGAGCAGATGAAGCTTCTAATGAAGGCCGTTCCGCAGCAGAAGATGATGTGGTTCCCGCTTCTTGTCAGCTCGGGTGTCACGGGCAGACCTTGGCCATGGATGGCTACTAGCCTATGTGGACCCAGCCTGGCAACCGCACTTCGAAATCCTGCGGCGCATGGCAAGCCGAGGACGTGGTCTGTGGCAGCTCAGCTGAGAAGTGCACTGCAGACCTTGCATGACGCAGGCATCCTACACTTGGATGTGAAACCTGGCAATGTTCTTTGGTGCCCTTGCACAGATCAGGTGCAGGTGTGCGACTTCGGCATGAGTGAGAACATGGCACGGCTCCAGAAGGCTTCTCAGGCTCCCAGGTTACTGCAGTATGTCACGGCTGCCTATCGACCTCCGGAGCTGTGGCCCGCTCGTGTGAATGGCGATGGAGACTGCGGTGTCAGAAAGCAGCTGCTGACTGCAGCTGTGGATATGTGGGCCTATGCGTGCGTGGTGTTTGAGGTGGAGACCGGGAATCCCTTCATGCCCAAGGGGGAGGCCGGACTGAGAGCGTGGTGCAAGCAGTGGCCCGAGCTGTGGAAAACACGCAGCGACTTAGCCAATTGCCCCGCTGCAAGTCACACGGGCTGCACAAAGGTGCTTCGAGCCGGTAAATGGGGGCTGTTTGTGTTGGTCGGCTGTGCTCCAGACCCCGGAAAGCGGCGGTGGCCGGAGCTCTGTCTGAATCAGAAATGACTCGACTGAGCCTCCATTTTTATTTGATGATGTCTCGTATGGTTTAACGTGTGTTTAGAGTCGGTTAAAGGGTTTCAGGGTTAGTTAGTAGGGTGTGACTTTCATAGCCTTCGTGTGTTCAGTTAGCAGCATATACGAGCATGGGGGCAAGATTGCATGCAATGTGAGATGCAGTGAGTTTCCTCGTTGTAACCGATTCCGCACAGTGCCGTGCGTTGCATCTTGCCGAAGTGGTGAAGTGCGTCGTGACAAGCTGTTTGCAGGGCGTGTCGCGGCTACCAGGTTCCCAGGCTCCAAGGTCTGGCGCAAGACTGGCTGGGCTCCCTAATTCAATTATTTTAATTCTCAGCGCGGGGGTTGTCCGAAAAAGCAGAGGCCAGTGTCGTGAGTCATGTGAACGCACCCAAATTACACATGTAACCTGGTTCACATGTCGTTCTTTGCAGGCAGGGAGATGGGCAAGCGTGGTCCACGGCCGCAGCGCCAAGGAAGCTGTCAGGACCCGTGCTGCGTTGGACAGTCAAGTTTAATTAATTTGACAGCGGATCTTGGCTGTCGCCAGGATGATTCGATGCTGCGAGGGACCGCATCAACATCGACCCATCGTCGTCAAGGCCACAAGGTTTAGTTTCAAAGCACCCTGCCCTCATGTACGTTTGTGTTCTACTGCTTCTGGCCTTGAATCTGCCTCGCTGCAGACAGCTCGGTACGACCAGGCATGCTGAGTGAAGAACCTGACTAGAATGAGACCCTCTTTCAGCGAAAGAGAGTCAAGATGCAGGCTCCAAGGCTCCAAGGCTGTGAAATGAAAAGGGGGACCCTGCCTCTGGCTCCCGGCCAAGCCTAACTGTGGTCGAAATGTGTTTTCTTCAACGGGGGACCCTCCGTGGCCTCTGGCTCCGGGCCAAGCCTAACTGTGGTCAAAATGAAAGGGGGACCCTCCTTGGCCTCTGGCCCCGTGCCAAGCCTAACTGTGGTCAAAATGAAAGGGGGACCCTCCTTGGCCTCTGGCTCCGGGCCAAGCCTAACTGTGGTCAAAATGAAAGGGGCACCCTCCTTGGCCTCTGGCTCCGGGCCAAGCCTAACTGTGGTCAAAATGAAGGGGGCCAAGCAAGGCTCCAAGGCTCGCAAGGCAAGGCTCCAAGCTGGCTTTGGCTCCAAGGCTCCAGAAAGTGGGACCCTGCTTGCCTTTGGCTCTAAAGCAAGGCTCCCAGGATGCAAGGCTCCAAGAAATGAAAAAGGGGACCCTCCTTGGCCTCTGGCTCCGGGCCAAGCCTAACTGTGGTCAACATGACGAAAGGGTGCCAAGCAAGGCTCCAAGGCTCGCAAGGCAAGGCTCCAAGCTGGCTTTGCGCCAAAAAGCTCCAAGGCTCCAGAAAGTGGGATGCCTTTGGCTACCGGTCCAAATGTAAAGCAAGGCTCCCAGGCTCCAAGGCTCCAAGAAATGAAAAGGGGGACCCTCCTTGGCCTCTGGCTCCGGGCCAAGCCTAACTGTGGTCAAAATGAAGGGGCCAAGCAAGGCTCCACGGCTCGCAAGGCAAGGCTCCAAGCTGGCTTTGCGCCAAAAGGCTCCAAGGCTCCAGAAAGTGGGACCCTGCTTGCCTTTGGCTCCCGGTCCAAATGTAGAAATGAAAAGGGGGACCCTCCGTGGCCTCTGGCTCCGGGCCAAGCCTAACTGTGGTCGAAATGTAAGGCAATGCTCCAAGGCTCCAAGGCTACCGAAATGAAAAGGGGGACCCTTCTTGGCGTTTGCGGAGCCCCAAGCCGCCTAGCTGTGGTCGAAATGTAAAGCAAGGCTCCAAGCTCCCTACCTGAAGATGGTGACCCTCCTTGACCTCT